CTATAAATAGGCGGGGTCATTCATCATTTTGGAGGACTTTTTGGAAGAACTTTTGGAGAGCCGAAACTCTGCCGGATTGAGACCTCATCTTGGAGTTTTTGAAGGCTTGAAGACTTGGACGTCCGGATCCGATTCTTGGCGAGCACCCGCATCACAAAAGGCAGGAGTTCGAGGGGATCGAGATCTGAGATCTACGTTGTTACACTCCGGATCAAAGCTTGGTCTTTGATCCCGAGATTCGAGCGATTGTTTCCTTGGTGAAATAATCCCTCCGGCTATTATTTCCTTAGTGAAATAATACCCGTTATACTGCGTAGATCTGTTCGGATCTAGATCGCGCGGTGGTCCACGGCAAACAACCCCGGCGCAGGCAAACAACCCACGCAAGCGAGTGACCGAATAACAGGAGCTCGCGATTTGTTCGACGAAGGAGAAAAGGTTGTAATTTTTAATTTTCTTTATTTTTTGATTTTCATTGTAACCGGATCTAAAAAAGACCGGATCTTCTGTAACCGAAAAACTGTTATTCAAGATAGCAATGGAATCAATGATGAAGAAAGCAACGATTTTCCGAGCGAACAGTTCCGCCACGCACAACAGTATTACCATTGCATCGTCTGATCACTCACGCTATCTGCATGGTCCAAACGCTCTTATTTACCTGGTAGATAGATACTTCTAACATAGACGTTTCTAATGTCTTTGTGATTTAACCTATTACATATTTGGAAGTAGAAATGAGGAGCTAATTGCAACGAGCTACTGGTTGAGATTCTTGAGAACACATTTAGGATAAAGGCTCCACCACAGAATAAGCTATAGCTGTAGGAGTTGTGCGAAGAGAACATTGAGTTGGCCTCTTGGCCTATGGAGAATTGCATCACAGCTCAAAAGAATCAAATTGGCTGCAAATTGTCCACTGAGCTCTCCACAAGATCTGGAAGTTGAAGATTTGACTCTGCAGCGGGTCAAAAAATGAAAAGAGTGACTATATATGCAGCCATAACGTAGCATCTTATAACTTGGCTACTTATCGTATGAAATGATCATTTATTAAGTATGTTAGTTCTTCTCATCTGCAGGGTATCCAAAAATCTCTCTTTAAAATACCTTTAGGTTCAAATCAGGTCAATAGTTAATATATCAAAAGTCACCTTGACAAAATATATAACATTATCTTTAAATGGGTAAATTACACTAAACCCCCTTGAACTTTCAGGGTTTTGCACTAAACCCATGTGAACTTTCAATGAAAGATCACACTAAACCCCATTAACTTTTCTGTGTTGCAAAACCCCCCTCCCCCCAATTTTTTGCATTCTGCAGGTACCCCCATAAATTAGTGTTAGAACACTACAACAAAAGTTGTAAATTATGATACATTTATTGTCTCTACATGACACATTTTTGTGTCACAAATATGGAGTGCGACACATACAAAAAGTATGGTCAGAGCATGTGTGGAGAGTGTATTTCTACACATGTGCGAATGTGTCGCAAAACTCACAACATATATATATGTTGAAAGTGGTGACAAATACATGTGTCAAGAATAGTGATACATAATTGTGTTTAGACATTAAAAATATGAAGAGTATAATCATTTAATACAATAAAAATATAAAGAGTATAATAATTTAATATTATAAATTCCCAGAAGGTCACTCATTCTAAGATTACTCTCATCAAAGCACGCTTAACAATAGAGATTTTTAGCTTATATACTATCATAAGTATTTAGTCATCATCATAATTAATGTCTATGATTTATTGTTTAAGACCATCAATATATCTTCTCACAAGTACGTATATCTAATGACACAAATATGTGTCATTAGATATACCTATTAGCCTTTTTCACTTATATTTAATTGTATATCTAACGATACAAATACGTGTTGTGAATTGCCATACTTATTATTTGTGCCACTATTATTTAATTCTTTGTAAATAAAATGACATTTTTATATGTGTCATAAAATAAGTGTGGACATATACAACATTTGTTGTAGTGGAATTTATATAAAACTATAATCCTTGATCCTCACCATAACTTCAGAGTTTTGATCTAATGGTTAGAGGGACTTAATTTAAGATATTATTAGAGCAACCCATGTTCTAATCTTGCTGGTCACGAATTTAATGTGGATTCTAAATAAAACGATACTGCTATGCAGGTCCAGCTTTTCAGCCCATAAAAAGGGCGCTCAACTTGCGGGTTCGTTACTGCTATGCAAGTCCAGCTTCTCAGCCTATAAAAAGGGCATTCAATTTGCATGAGCGTGTTAGAATTAATATAAAACTATAATCCTTAACCCTCATCATACCTTCGGAGTTTTGGTCTAATGGTTAGATAGACTTAATTTAAGAATCAGAACCATAAAACAACATAAAAATGCATTTTGAAAGCTATTGGGAATTTAATGTAATTTACGCATAAGATAGCAGGGTTTTTTTTGCAAATGTTATTGGGGATTTAGTGCGCTTTTAAAAGCCCAAAGGGGTTTATTGTAAAATACTAAAACTTCACGAAGGTTTAGTGTAATTTACCCTCTTCAATTGCAGCTACACATAAATAATTTTAACTTAAAAAATTAATGTTTTGATTATGAAAATTTTAACTTAAAAAAATCAATACATGTTCTTATCAAGGGAGAAGCAAGGGAAGCACTACAACATATATTTCCCATAATTAATAAGATCTATTTAGGTTGTTTTTCTTTTTCAAGACTATCAGAATATAACCCTCAACTCTCATAATAACTCCGCAGTTTTGACGAAATGATTAGGACCTTTCAGCTAGTATAAGAATAATTCATGTTCAAATCCTACGAAAAAAATCCTACGAAAATATGTAGAATATAATAATGTACTAATGACTTTCATTATAACTCTTAAGTTTAGGGTTTTGCTGAATATATGCAGTTTTACTTGCACCCGAACGACAAACAGATGTGACAGCCAACAACGTAACACCAAACATATCCGTTTCTTGTACGAAGGAACAAACTTTCACAACTTTGATGTCTTCAGCTAAAATTGTCTGCTTCTCTCCATGCCAAGTTTCTTTCTTCATTGTAGAGAACTAAAAAGGATAAGAGTGAGCGAGACTCATGTCCACCTCACATCTCACCAACTCCTAGTCCTCTTTCTCTGTCTAAAATTGTACAATTAATTATCCTCGCGTAAATAGGGGTTGTTTGGTTGTATGATTTTACCATGTAAAAGGATGAAAAGTGTAAAAAAAGTGGGTTCCAATGTCAGCTTTCATCACTTTCAATTGTTTGTTTGTAGTTGTGAAAATAGTGTAAAGTGATTTCATATGCTGATGTGGCTTGTAAAGTGATTTCATAAAAAAGACATGATTTTAGGAGAAAGCTGACATTGAAGTCAGAAAAAAAATCCAACCAATATGATCATTTGAGTAGTGACTACTTTTTACACTTTCCAAACAAACAATTAAAGTTATATTTGCAAACCAAACAAGCAATTTATGATTCTAATAGAATAAAAAACAAACAAAAAAGTATAAAAGTGAAATTGATGAGGTGGACAACAACTTTCCAAGTTGTGTCATAAATACACAACTTTACCAACAACCACCAAACGACCCCTTACAGCTTTACCTCTTTGCTAGTTGTGTGATCCACACAAGTGACAAGCCTTCATCTTATTAATGCGTCAATTGAAAGAGGGGTGATATCTAGGGTTCACATCCCAAACTAGTATTTCCCCAAAAGAAATAAAATATTGAGATCCTTTATCATATATTATTACCAAATTTTATGAGTCATCGACTGATCAAGCGTTCCATATTTTTGTTTCTTTTAATATAAAAGTAGTTTATAATGTAGAAGACGCTTATCATCGTGCGAATATAATTCTTCACAAAAACATATATATCGCACCGCTATCATTTGGGATAATTGTGGACTCGATCACGGCTCTTGCATGGATGGCTGACTAAGATTGCAAATGATCAGCAGTTTAGAATATCAGTTTGCACGTGGATGCTCTAAGTTGAATGGGAGGGTATCCAACTTTAAAGAGTACTTATGAACCCCCGCCCAAGGAAAAAAAAAATCTGTAAATTGATTTTTTTGAATTTTTGATATTAGTTCCTAATACTCATATTTTAAATTTGAAATTAATTGATGAAATAGTTGAAATTGCTATTAAGTTCCTCAATTCTTAAATTATTTTGAATTAGTCTCTCATGGCGAGCGTGCAATAATGTTTCACCAACAAAGGACCTCATCAGAAGGGGCGTTGAGATTGATCAAATGTGTTGCTCGTGTGTCGAGAAGGAAGAATCCATTCTTCGTATGATATTTGAGTGCCCGAAGAGCATCGAGGTGTGGAGAGAAATACGATTGTCAAATGCTATCAATGAAGTTCAAGGGAATTGACCCCTGGGCCTTTCATATTGTAACTCGTGGGCGAGAGAAATCCCAGAGGGGATTGACTCCTTTTTCTCTCATTGATTTGATTAATAAAGAATGTGTTTTATAAATAAAAAAAAACATTGTACTGAAAGTGATGTGAAAGCTGTCAAAACTAATAAGAACTATCAGTTTTGACAGACTTTCTTGCAAAAACGCCTCTAAAAAAATGTTTTTGTAAGAAAACCCGACAAAACTCAGGCTTTCATCTTAAAAAAAATCAAAACAAACGGACTTTTAAGATGCCAATCTAACGCAGGGGCAAACTTGTAATAATAGCCTTCATCATGTCCTCCTTATAAAATGAGTCAAGCATTAGCACGAAGAATTCGACAACAAACCCTTCATTTCTAAAACAAGCACAGCTCTCCCTCGCTCCCCCCGTCTCTCTCCTCACTTTCTCTCTCTAGAATGGGTTCAGAGACGGCTGATCTTCCGTCGGCGATGAGAGATTTCATTGATAAATGCGGCGGCTGCGCCGTTATCGGCCTTCATCATGTCCTCCTTATAAAATGAGTCAAGCATTAGCACGAAGAATTCGACAACAAACCCTTCATTTCTAAAACAAGCACAGCTCTCCCTCGCTCCCCCCGTCTCTCTCCTCACTTTCTCTCTCTAGAATGGGTTCAGAGACGGCTGATCTTCCGTCGGCGATGAGAGATTTCATTGATAAATGCGGCGGCTGCGCCGTTATCGACGGCGGCCTGGCCACCGAGCTCGAGGCCAATGGCGCTGATCTCAACGATCCTCTCTGGAGCGCTAAGTGCCTCCTCAGCTCTCCCGATCTCATTAGAAAGGTGTCAACTTTTTTATTCCCCTGTTATTTGAGAAAGTTCAAATCTTTTTGAAATGCGTTGTCAAATTGGCGCTGAAGTGGTCATCTTTTGTAATAAAAAAGAAATCTTAGATTGCGAATCACGTAGAAATTGTGATTCCATGATTATTATGTACCATAATATCTTAGAAATGTGCCATTTTTATATTTACAGTTGACCTAATATGGTCTCGTTCTTAAAGGTGGAATGATAGTGATATCCGTCTTGATATAGTCGATTCAATAGCTGGAAGAACTCGATACTTGTACGATTTCTGTGGATTTTAAGAAGTTGATGATAATTGTAAATCAATGTGGAGGTTTTGTTGAGATATTTGAATTAGTTGGTCAAGCAATTTGTGTGCATCGTTGTAAAATACTTATCACTACACTAGAACTCTGAGGTTGTGGTGATGGTTGAGGGCTATAGCGTTATACTCTCCCCCACAGATTGTGTATTTTTCATGGGGCGAGTTTTTTTGAAGGGGTTAATTGCACAATGACCCCTGTAGTATAGCTGTTTTGAACTTACAGCTCCTGTAGTTTCTTGTTTAGAAGATAGATAGATTGGTAGGGTTAGTTTCTTTTGGGGGCGCGGGGGGTTTGAGATTTTGGCAGATGTTGTCGAGGGGCAAACTCAGTGAATCTATTTGAGGGTAAAAGAGTAAAAAAGAATTCACCCAGGGGGTCTATCTGGCAAAAGGAACTTATAGGGTTGGAATGTTCACAAAGCAATATCACAGGCGGTCTATTTGCAATTTAACCCTTTTTAAAATTCCACTTAAAATAAATCCCGGAGAGGGTCTGAACATAGTCGTTCGAAGTCGAATACCATCAGCCTTTTTACTATACCAAAAATCTGAGGTTGTGATGAGTGTTGAGATTTACAATTTTATCCTCTTTAACATGCAACCCTGAAATTCAAGGGATCTAAGAACCTTACCTGTATAATATCCCAACTTCATGGACTCATTACTGAATAGAGATAGTTATGGTGCATGTAATATCTGCATCGTTCCTGTATCTCAAAGAGTCAGGAAGCATCATATTGTTTAATGAGATTTAATGTGAATAACTTATGTAATTTTAATTTTTTAAAAGTCTAACATAAGGTGGATAGGTCTAATTTCTTATTCATTTAAGATGATAACAATTTAATATATCGTTTCTTCCTTGTTCCTTTTTTCACTCACCTTCTGTTCCAGAGATTAATGTGCATTGTTTTCTTATTTGACATATCTTCACTGAAACAGGTCCATTTAGACTACCTAGAAGCGGGAGTGAATATCATAACTTCAGCATCCTATCAGGTTTCTTCTTTTTAGAACATTTCTTTGTAATAATTCTTAGCTAAACCTGTAACCGTGATTGTTCATTGAGTAGGGTACTATTCAAGGTTTTGAAGCTAAAGGATTTTCTAGAGAAGAAAGTGAAGCTTTGCTGCGTAAAAGTGTTGAAATCGCATGTGAAGCACGAGATATATTCCAAAAGAGAGATTCAAAAGTCTCCTATAGTGACTGTGAAAGTAAAATTTCTTCCAAACAACAACCAATTTTTGTAGCAGCTTCTGTGGGCAGCTACGGTGCATATTTGGCTGATGGTTCTGAGTATAGGTAAGATTATTGAAGTTTGTTCGTAACCAAATCAGGTATTATTTGCCTTAATGCTTATAACCATTGTCTCCATATTTATGTCTTTTTCAATATTTCCAGTGGAGATTATGGCAAATCAGTTACCTTGGAAACTTTAAAAGATTTCCATAGAAGAAGAGTTCAAGTTCTTGCAGAATCTGGTGCCGATCTAATTGCATTTGAGACAACACCAAACAAGATTGAAGCCCAGGTATATCCTGAGTTACATGCTTCTTTTGGTACACTGACTATGTAATGATAGACCCCAATAAATTTGAAGCAATGAACAATCATCATTCAGCACTTAGATTAGTTCCTTAGCTTCTATTGTGGCATGCACTAGATAAGAGTTTTTTTTGGTTATTTTAATTGCTTTATTCTGCTCATACAGGCTTATGCTGAACTCCTTGAGGAAGAAAATATAAATATCCCAGCATGGTTTTCCTTTAATTCAAAGGATGGAGTTAACGTGGTTAGTGGAGACTCCTTAACTGAGTGTGCTTCTATTGCTGATTCATGCAAGAAAGTTGTGGCAGTTGGAATCAATTGCACACCTCCCAGATTTATTCACAACCTAGTCCTCTCAATTAAAAGGGTACTATTATTCACCTGCCTAAACATTTTTCCAATGAAATGTTTTTTTTTCTTTTCTAAATGTTCTACATTGGCCCTTGATATGCATGCACATATTTTTTCTTTGTATGCTACAAGCTTTTTTGAAGAATAATTTATGATATATAACGCCAATGCTGTTTAGTATCATTATCAGAATTTGAGCGTTCTACTTCTGATTATATAGTCTTATTTGAGGTTACGGTGTTGATCCACTGGTTGGTTTTTTGGTTATGCTATTGTATGTTTCTGCAATACTTGGAGTTCTTCTCACTCATGTTTTGAGTGCAAGATAAACATGGTATTAGAGAAGAGTAAATGTAATGTGAACAAGACATGATCTGTTCTGCGCACCGAAGTGACAAACACAGTTGTATTTTGTTAATGGAACTGTCTTCACTTGCGTGAGATATGATCATCTTCTGTGAGGTTCTTCACCGACTGATAATGTGGACATTCTTTTTGGCTTTGAGCGTGGAGACAAATCCACAGAGAATGGGTCATTAGACTTTATTTACCATTGCGTTTGTGTTGTTTTCATTGCGTTTTTAAAAAAAAAGAAACAAAACGCGTTTGGTTACCATTCCGTTTTTCCGTCCAAAACACTACCAACCCCCAACTTTAAACGGTTTTCTCAAAACAAGAAAAAGGGTTTAAGGTCTGCTGTTTTCGTTTTTATTTAATATTAATATATAATATTAATATATATTAATATATATATATAATATTTAATATATTAATATATATTAATAATATATAATATATTAATAAATTTAATATATTAATATATTTATATATTAATATATTAAAATATAAATATATTAATATATTAATAATATATTAATATTAATATATTAAGTATATAAATATGATTTAATAAATATTAATATATTAATATTAAATTTAATATGTTAATATATTAAATATATTATAATTAAATATATTAATTAGAATATATTAATATATTTAAATATATTAATATTCATTAACTTGAAATATATTAAATTACATTAATAGTACTAATTAAATATATTAATTAATTAATATTGAATTAATATATTAATGATATTGAATATTAATTAATATAAGTAAACTTAATTAATATATTAATATTATTTAATATTAATATTAAATTAATATATTAATAATTAATATTATATTAATATTAATATTAATTATAATATTAATATATTAATATTAATTGATAATTATATTAATCATTAATATTAATATAATAAGTAATACTAATAATATATTAATATTATTTAATATTAATATAATAAGTATATATATAAATTAATATTAATATTTAATATATTAATTGATATTAATATATTAATATTAATTAATAGTAATTAATATATTAATATTAATTAATATATTAATTAATATTAATTAATATTAATTAATATTAATTAATATTTATTAATATTAATACATTAATATTAATTAATATTAATATTAATATTAATTAATATTAATATTAATATTAATTAATATATTAATTAATATTAATGTATTAATTACTATTAATTAATATTAATATATTAATATATTAATATATTAATATTAATTAATATATGATTAATTTTCCTTTTTTGCTGAATATATGATTGTTTTAGAAAAACCATCTGATCCATCCGATCCAATGTGTTTTTCAAACGATTGCAAACACTTTTGGGAGAAAAACCAAACACCAATGTGTTTTTCTAGAAAAACACAACAATAAAAACACATTGGTAACCAAACGCACCCTTAAAGCTTTCAGTTTTATGTTTTGATTTGTATACTTTTTTTTCAATCTTTTGAGGCTTCAGCTGAGATGTACGACATTTTAATTGAATTTTTGATTTCATAATCTTATGTTCATTATGACTGGCGGCATCATCTACTTATCTACATTGTTGAGAACAAAAAGACTCTTGTAACATTTTGCCAAGAAACACCTGGTAAAATATTGACCTTCTTCATCTTCTTTACCACTCATTCCTAAGATTGCCATCTATCAATAGGTATGTTTTCCTTGGTTGCTACTTATATAATTGGCTTTCCCTTCTTTATTGAAATTATATTAATTTGAATATTTCCTTAGGCTAAATTGTCTAATTGGTATATTTAGTAAGACCACTTTGACCAGTTTGGTATTTTTTCTAACTCAGAGTACAGTTAGGTATTAAAAGTGAGCCCAAGATGCAATTAGCTCCATTTCCTTGCTGCCAAAGAAAAAATTTGCGCAAAATGTTAGGTCTTGCGGTCTCTTTTTTGGATGAGTCTGATGCTGATGCGGACAAGAGTAAATGAAATGACATAGTTGAGATCATGTGATTGTCACATGCTTCTCCTCCTGTATTCAAAATTAGGGTTGAAATTAAAATTATGATTCATATCCAAAACCTCCTTTCATTTCTCAAATTAGGTATCATCTTCAAATTATGAAAAAAGCCATTATGCCCTCTTCAAGCTCAAGCTCAAAAAAATATGTACTGCATCAAAGAATTGGGTATGGTTTCAATGGGTTGACGGGTATTAGGAGATGGAATGGAGCTGCGAAAGGATCTGGTAGATTCTGCAACCGCTACTGTAGACTGCAATCTCTTCTCCCCTCTCTATAAACAAGGTTGGAAAATGGGGAAATTGGCAAACTTAGGGTTAGTTAAACTCCCTAAATACGTGTCACGTCAAAAATCCAGTCAAGTCACCTAAACTCAGCCACATCGGCATCCTAGTATTCCTCAAAATTAATTACATGAGCTTACATGATATTTTTACATGATTTTTTTGCTGGCAGTGAGAGCTAATTGCATCAAGAGGTCACTTTTAATATCTAATTGTTGTCAGAGTTAGAAAAAATGCCAAACTGGTAAAGGATCCTATTAAAGATACCAATTTGGTAATTTAGCCTCTTTCTTTCTGGTCTCTCAATTATCATTACTAATAGCAGGATGGATGACTATGTTACCTGGTACTTCTATCATGGAGTTGTACCCATACCCGACACAGAACTCTACTGAAACTTCATAGACACTCCTTGGATATATGCATACAATTATTTAGACATGTAGTCAATTATATGATATATGTTTTCATTTAACACACTTCTTGGACGTATACCCTACACTTTACATCCATGTCTTGAAACTCGTTAAACATGGTCGTGTTTATTTCACCCTATATCCAAGTACAAGACTATGATTTTAAAGGAATTTTTTGGTATCCAGTTCAAAAATTAGCAGTTTTCAATTTATAATAATCAACATAATAAAAGAAACTTAAAAATGTGATATGAATTTTAATTCCAAGAACACGTGAATTGAAAAAAAGAATGATCTCATTTAAATTACTAAGTTCTTTATATATATATATATATATATATATTATTAGTTATATTTACTACGTTATATATATATACTAATACCTATATAGGAGCAGAGCAGAGAGAGAGAGAGAGAGAGAGGAGAGATGAGTATGTTTGCGGTACCAAGCAAATTTTGTGCTGGTCCGGTTTTAGTGACGCGCAAGACACAAAACAACAAACAGGCGCCCGTGCTCTATTTGCCCGCCACCGCACTCCATTCCACGCATTCGGCCAGACCAAGTATGTCGC